AAATAATACCATGCTACACGCTGCTGTGCTGATTCCAGGTCCCTGTTGACCCTGTTGCACACCCGTATTAGTGTGTTCTGCACAACAAAGATCAGACAGCAGCATATTTTCACTTTCATGCTGTCCAAGGCATTGGCAGCCTGTTCTGGGTCCCAGACTGGGCCAGAACCTATACACTGGCTGTCAATGACATGCTAACGTGTTTCCATGAGGTCTCCAGTTTCTCTGGCAATTGGAGTGCTCGTCAGTCCCATGTTTCCCATGTGCTCAGAGAGGCCCGGGGGGACCCTGGCTGCAATGTGGGGGCTCTTATGAGCCATCCACAACAATGACAGCACCTACAAGCAGCACAGCACTAAATGAAATACCATATTATACCACTTCATGAACGATGGAGGGATCTGCAAAATACATTTTAAAAAGTAAAAAGGGCTAGTTACTAGACACTGCATGTGGTTAGAAATAAAAAAAGAGTTGAATTTGGTGTTTGATTTGCCCAGAAACAAAAGGCCCAGCGGCACCGAAATATGCCTACTCCAAATTCTTTACATTGTAACCCCTGTATAGTCTAGTAAAGCAAGTAGCACATGGGCTATCCTGTAATTACAATGCACTTCAATACAGCAATACATTGTAACGCATTAGCTGTCATTTAAGTATATATATATATATATGCATATCAATATTTTTTCCATACTTTCTGCTCCAGCTGTCACCACAATATGTTTCCGTTTGCGCAACAAGGGAGATTGTCTGACATTCCAAAGAGCCAATCTCTCCGCGGGGAATATTTATCTATGGAAGCCGGGATATAAAGTCTCACCTAGAGAGGCAGGAAATGGACAGGATATTGAATTCTGGAAGATTATGTAACGCTTGTTACAGGTAGCTAACATTACACACGTTTCAGCACATGGTCATGCTCAGATCTTTGCCTGGGGTCACATTAGTTCAAGTGATGGGGATAAAGAACACATGGCTAATCATTTCTTATTAAAGCTGCTGTCACGTTAGGGTAATGTGTGGGTGCATATGCTAGCGCCAGCCAGTGCATGTTAAGCATGTTGATGGCATTCTATTCACAGCTGATATAATATATCTGATATGAAGATACATAGTTGGATGATCTTGGACAGCAAAAGTGATATTATACAGAAAATCCCCTTCTTTAGTGAAATTCAGGACAGAAGATAATGGATCAGCGCTAGTTTTCTCAGTGTTTTGACACTGATAAAAGGCCCATATTGTGTGCTGAAAACACTGTGTGTATGTCAGAGCAGCGCTACTAATGGGAGTCAGGAGACCCTGTTTGGCTCCCAGCACTGAGCGATTATGAGGAGCTATTAGATGTTACATCGTGTTCTCTACCTGGGGGCTGCTGGACGCGAGTCATGCTTGCAAAGTGTACACACACACCACATACACACACGCAAGCACCCTCACTCACAGGCAGGAATGCAGTACACTCATACAGAGATTTATTTGTGCCGTCTCTGTTTCACTTGTGCACTAAATGTGTATACAAGCCGTCCGTTCATTCTCACGCTTGCCGAGAATGAAGTCCAGTCTTTCTCTCACACACACGTAGATAAGACACACAACACCCTTGGCTCTGACTGGGTGGCTGAGATCAGAGGTGCAGATATGGTTGGCTTATGTAAAGCCTGAAGGCCTTGACAAGATATTCGAGTTAGTTATGGTACACTAAGACCATATTTACGCTAATTCTCTTACATCACTGCTGACTGGTATTAGATAAACACTGGAAGAGGAACAGTGTCTGATAAACAAAGACTGCTATTTTTGAGTTAGCAATTAAAGAACCAATGTGTAGGTTTTAGTGGCATATAGAGGTTTTAGTTCCTGATTGTAACCCCCTCGTCTCACCTTCCCCATGGAAGCATGCAGGAAAAAATACAGTGGCAGCGAAATGTGCAATAAATGTGCTGTATCTAGAGCAAGTATTTGGTTTGTCTGCTCTGGGCTATAGTAGAAACATGGCAGTTCAACATGGCGGTGAGTTCAGGTGACTAACCAAAACATAGTTGTGCATATTATATTTAATTTCTGCAAAACTCTGTAAATAGGACCCTCTAAATCTTGCACACTGGACCTTCAAAGCAGAGCTTTAGTTTTTGTTAATTTTAGTCATTTAGGCTTATGAGCATTCAACTCATATGTTCTGTAGGTATAGAACGTCAATATTAGAGTTGCATTAATCAATATTTTTACAATTTATTTGGGTCAAATTCTGTGTAATGTGAAAAGGACTCATGTAGTGACAACTGACTACACAGAATTCTCAACTAACTCAGCAGTTAGTCTCTTTTGGCTCATTGTTATGACAGAGCAGGAACATTTAATATAAGATTCTGTCTCACTGCTCATCAACCCTGTTTCCAGCAGCAGCCAACCAGGCTCTGATAAAACCATTGTACCCTACCTGCACAGAAACAAAAAGTTACTCAGTGGCTGTGTAAGTGGCCAATTGTTAGCTAACTCATTAGCCATAACATCTTTTTCTAAGAATACTGGGTCGTGTGTCTGTCACCTCGTTTTCTTCTCAAGTTATTCAGCCCCATAATAGCAAAAAATGGAATTATGGAGCTTTAACACTTTCTCAGCTTATTCGAAGATGCAGGGAAGAAGCCTTTTTTGGTGTGACCAACTGAACACGTCTTTGCAGTTCTAGTATAAACTCTGCATGAAATGTCAACTGTTTTCTGTGGTTTTATTAGCCTGAGAAGTAGGAGAATTTTCTCAACCCACAAAAAAACATTTAGTCCCTCAGTTTATGTGAAAACATAAAAATCATTACATTTGGAATATGTGGTTTTTACTGGACAGCAGAGAATTAGAACTGGCAACGCTCGAGTGGTTTGGGGTAAATGTGTCGGCCAGTTTGTTTTGCAGGTGAACAAAGTTAGTTTGTCCCTTTGTCGTGCCCTCAGCGGCTCCTTCCAAGTGTTATCTAACCACAACAACTGGAGCCGTCGCTTGGCCGGAGGAAACAAGGGAACCAGTGTTTGTCGCTGACAGGAACGGCTGAGGGAAATTCTGCTGTCCTCTGCTCTCCATTCAAATCACTGTCATGCTGTAATTCTCAGAAACACAGGGCACCACTGTGTGGTGCATGTATGTGAGTGTGTTATGTCTGAATAACCTGAAAGTGTGCATTTTCTTACGTATATAGTTGTTCATGTCTGCGTGGGTGTGTGCACGTGGGGACAGGATTCATGCCTTCCTGCCTGCATATTCACACACAGACATGCAGGTTATTATCCAATATTGCACGCCAGTTGTTTTTTTTCCTCATTCTCCATTACGCCGCCTCCATCCATGAATGAGGGGTTTGTTTGGTTTTTCCTCCAGCTTTCCGCTGTGCACTGTTACCCCGGTTTTGCTCTCCGTTTCCTGGCCTGGACACACGGCTGTTTTTTTTCACCTTAGCCTCACAGAGGAAATAATTTCTGACTGAGAGCGATGGGGGAGGAACGACAAACTAATATATCCTACCTCTGAACCCGGCTTAGGCACTCACTGCAAACCATTTTGGTTCCAATACGCCCTGGCTGTTGCCAAAAGTTTGTTTCCACTACCTTCTGCTACAGTACAAAGACTTCTCATAAACGTCTGTGGTTGCTTCAGCGAGATATCCAATAACTGATACTGGAGTATTACTGCACTTGCACCTTTTATGTGGGTTCACATGTGCAAATGCACATTCTGCCAATAATACAATCCTCCTTAATACTATGCAATGTATTCAAAGAGCATAACACACTGCAAGTCCTATGGTTATCATAATGCATTAGAAGAAAGGTTATATCCTCCTCTTGTATTATTTTTACCAGTATTGCATTACATTGTAAACTGGAGTGGTGCTCCAGCTTCCATCCTCGCCTTGACATCCCTCTAAATACGCCACAGTTCCACTGCTCTTCTTTTTCCTAGTAACTCAATACTGGCATGAATACAAGTACAAACTTTTACACATGCAGGTGCACACACACGCGTGAGAACACACACAAAGCGGTGTGCGTTTACTCCTTTTTAAATAGGCTGTCGGAGCCTATCATATCAGCTAAGCTGAGCCTGCATGCCTTGGAAAGAGAAAGGAGGGGTCCGATCCTCGTCCTTGCTTCCAGCACTAAACCTTCAGCCAAAAAACAAATTAGCAAAGAGACACAGGGGAGGGTTTATGACTATTTATTCAATTTGCTATTGAGTGAGAGAGGGGGGCCGAATTCCCCTTTTTTTCTCTAAGCACAATGTCATTTCCTGGTGGATATTTGAGACTCGCCGAAGAGTACGAGAGATGTTTTGGCGAGGGGAAAGGGGTGAAAGAGAGGGCTAACCAGAATGTTCTAGTGCTTCCATGGTATGTTGACAATTCTTAGGCAGCACAAGGAAATTGCTTGCTCCAACGTGGGGAGGGAGATTTGGAGATTGAGGGTCTTTAAACCTGGGTCTGAGGGTGCTCTGTGTGTGCACGTACAATACTGCATGTACTAGTGCCTGTGAAACACATTGTGCAATATGTAGCTGGCGTTATATGTGCATAAGTTTACGTCAGTGCAGGAATGAGAAGCCGGGAAGTCTGAATGGGTTCTGGTAAATAGCTGCCCTTCAATAACATTCATTGCTGACAGTTCAGCTCTAAACTGTGGGTTCAGGCAGCCAGTCAGCTGAGGGCCAGCCAGACACTGAAGCTGTCGTAGAGTACAGTACAGGCAGAGACCAACTCACCTTCTTCTTGCTGCAGTAGATCTGCCATTTCTTCTCGTCGGGCAGAGCGAACATGGCCTCCCTGTTCTTATCCGTCAGGTCCAGTTCATCCTGCAACAAGAGGAGAGGCTGATTTATCCACACATTGGGTTCTTTGCACAAAACATTCAACTGAATTTGATTTAAGATAAAGATAATCATGACAAGGAAACATAACAGCAAAGCAGTGTTTAGGGTAAGGAGAAACATGACTATAATCACCCCATCCCTCAGGACACAATCCCTGTTGTTTTGTTATCCCTATATTGTTACAGGGATAGTAGAGGAAAATATTTTAGCAGTCAGCCAGAGATTATACTTTGATATTTGATTGTCCAACCTTCTCCCCGTCTGACTGAGAACTGGTCTCCGCAGACTACAGAGGAGTGTTTTAATATTCACCCTGCTGCTTTGCTCAATTCTTCAGCTTGGTACAAGGAGCCTCCTGCACCTTTTGAAATGCATATGAGACCAGGAAATGAGTCCCTGTGTGCCAGGGAGGAAAAGTAAAGTCTTGGAAAAGAGAGATAGATCAGGATGGAAGGGAGAGGAGACAGAAAGCTAGCTATTTCCAGAACCACGTAGCCCCCTTTCTCTTTCTTCTTTCTTATTTTTCTAAGAGAGGATGAGATGCTGTAGCGCAAGGGCTTTGTGCTCAAGCTCAAACTAATCTCATAATAATGGTTTTTGCTACCATGACGTCAGCCAGAAGTGCCGGGGCCTCCTGGGCCCCCCAGAGTGAAGATGGCTACCGGTGCCAGAGGTGGGGCCCCTTAAAGCCGGCCAGTAGATTCACAGGGTTTGTTTTCATCCATTCAGCTGGACGGGGAGGGCCGAGGTGGCCTGCATTCCAAGCTTCCGACACTATGAGGAATGACATCATCTCTCACCCAGTCCTTTCATAGGATAACCAGCAGCAGCATTATTGTGGCTTTGGCAAAAAAAGGAAAAATGTTAAGGGTGTGAACTTCAAGGGGGTCTAATACAGATAGAAACCACAAAGAAGCTTTAGAATTTTTTGGTCAAAGTGTTTTTCATCCCAGCAGCATGAATTCGGTGATTAATTGTGACTCACACACAGAGCTGATCATCCAGGGTCTACATTACCAGCGACAATAACTGCACGTTTCTCGTGACCCTGTGCGCTCTTGAGTGTTAAGAAGAAAACTAGCCATCTTGTGGTAGCTAAACCTCTGAGTCTCTGTCATTCAATCTTTACAGATCTCAGCTTCGGGTTGGACCACAATCCTCTCTCCACATCCCCCGGCTTAGAAACCGAGGCCCAGAAGCCAGCCAGTCTCTGGCCTGTCGCCTGGTCGCCGGGTCAAAGCCCTGCTGTCCAAGCTGCTGTTGTTCTGTTTGGAGGAGCCGATGCTGGGAGCCGGCGGAGAAATCAGTGAGAATGAGACCCCTGGATTTGAACCAGATGGGAGCTGAGCCCAGCAGCTGATCTCTATGCTCCATCTTGGTCTCTCTATCTCCCCCCCTTAGTACTCCCCAGGCCTCTCAATTTAAGGTCTTATATGGAGGGCAGTTATATGAGAGCAGGATATACGTCAGCAATGAAAATCAGGGTTTAGGTGTCTGAGACACATTGGTTCAATGGTTTAGCAGCTAAGCTACCCCAGGTAGGTTTTTTTCAAGAATTACATTTATAAATATTATATATTACATAACAGGAAAGGAGCAAGGTGGGCTAAGGGCTATGTGTATTTTTTGTCTGGTAAGAAGAAGAAAAGAAAAAGAAGAAGAAGAAGAAGAAGTCTCTATTTGAATGAGAGCAATGAGATGAAGTCAAGGACAAAGACATTGGGAGGAATGTTAATGTCATGCCAGCCAGAGGACTCTTCACTTCCCAGTTATGCAATATCCCACCGTTTTCTTCCACCTCCAAACCCCAATGCCATCAAATACCACATCCGCATCCCATTGCGTCTTGTCATGACCATAGCAACATCCAAAAAACACCCACTCATCCCATTCGCTCAATCTTCCAAAACAAAACTGAACCACTTTCCACTTTTGCTGTGTAAAACCTTGTGCCCCCACCCTCCTTCGCCAGCATGCTCCAGTGGGGAATTCACATAAACCAAAGCTAATATTGTTACACCTGCTGCTGGAGAAGGGGAAAAATACATACCTAAGGCCTCTGAACCTCTTCTTTTAATATTTCATCCAGATCGAATAATGTTACAAATTAAAAAAAGGTGTGAGATTGCCTGTCATGTCTGCTGCAGACTGACTGACCTGCTCAGTCATTCAATTTCCTGTTTCAAGACTGTACGGAGAGAATACAGAAGATACAGCAGAGAGAGAGAGAGAGAGAGAGAGAGAGAGAGAGAGCTTAGAGAGCAAATTAAAACTCCTTCCAACTTTTCTAAAACAAATTTGCACACAACACATTTGGAATGAATTTGATTTCATGTCATCATTCAGTGATTAAATGCCAAGTCAAATATAATTTTGCATGTGAGGCTCAAACAGTTATTACAGCATTTGCACTTTAAACTGTATCCACCATCAATTTTACTCAATGGAATAGTTCAACATTCTAGGAAGTACACTTTGTTTACTGTCTTTGTGAGTATGAGATGAGAAAATCAATATCAATCTTAAGTTACAGTGAGCAACATCCTGGTTTGTCCAGCACGGTCACCGTTTTAGGCTGGGTGTACCAAGTCCCAACAAATATCTGTAAAACACTAAATTGTCCCAGTTGTCACCAACAATTATAATACTGTAATTGTTTTCAGGGCTTACATAGACGTGTCCCACCCCTAACCCAATATAAAAAGATAAACAATGAACCACTGATTTGTCCAATCAATCAGTGCGTCATTGTCAGGGCTGCAGCTAGCCTCTGAGTCATAGGCCAGTGTCATAGGCTGTAATCTGACAGAATATGTCAGTAATGGTTAGCTGTCGTGCTGAAGAGAAGAGAGAGCTGCCCCTACGCAAATGAGATACAATGACAAAATTATAGCAAGTAAATCAAGTGCACTTCCCAAAATGGTGAACGATTCCTCTTAATGCAACATTTCAGTACAAATCACGCATAGATCTTTGAAACAAAAGTGAGCACAACACAAATGCATGGTGTACTGTAACAACCCCAGGGATTATGATCATGAAGATATTTTAGCACATTTGCCACCAATCATGGCCTATATAAATGAATTTGTGTGACATAACAAGAGTCAGATGCTACAACATGTCTGTGGGAGATTTAAAATATTTATCTACACCATATGGAAAGAGTGTAAAGGAAGGGAGAGGGATGAGTTGCAATGAAACATGGGAGTAAAGTCAGAACAGTGTGGGAAAACCTAGATACCCGCTACTGCTGTTTAGACTATATGTCCAGTCCAGGTTAAGTGCATTGAGACAGAGCTGGACCAGAGGGTTGGAGGTAAGGGGTACAATTGCGTTGCGATAAAGACGGAAGCAAGGCAAACTAACAGACATTTGGGGGAAACAAAATATACAGGAAGAATGAGGGGTCAGTGAGTGAGTAGGTGTGAGTGAGTGGGACAGTGGGAGTGGGAGTGGGTGTGTCTCTGTGACAACTGATTGAGAATGTGTGAGGCTCCATCTAAATGGGAAATGTGTGTGGGCTAAGAATGACATCCTTTCACATACATGTGCGCCTATGAAGTGGCATTTCCAGAGTGGATATGAATGTCTTTACCTCATGTGAAGTCTTACTGTACTGGCTGTCATAGCACTGACACACACACACACACACACTCACACACATACAGACATACACTGTATATATATCCTGCTGCAGTCTCTGGGCGAGACAGGAAGGCAGAGGAAAGACAGGCAAGATGGCAGGAAGTCATATGAGGCCTCCAGGGGACCTACAGGAAGCTGTAGTTGCCATTATTGACCCAAACGAGATTCAGAGAGTTTGTGTGTCTGTGTGTGTTGTGGGTGTGTGTTACACCCAGGCCTAGCTAGTCCTGGAGTTCTTCGCACAAGGCAAAGTCTGGCTCTGAATCATTTACCACAACCAGGAAAAGGTCAAAGATCAACCTCTTATTCCTAAGATAGGGTGAGAATGGATTTTAGCGCTTTGCGTCCCTTGACAAATTATCACATCACATCAACACACTGGGCTCACACCACTTTGCAACATTCAGAGGAGTCATAGTATCCTGTCTTTGATGAGTCACTCAGTAGCGTACTGCCTCTCCTCTTGTCCAAACAAGGCTTGACCACTTCCATGATAAGGTTGGCTCAGGACAGCAAGAGCTGGCTTTACAACAGAGGTAGGAAGAGAGCATTAGAAATAGGAAGTCAGTTAGACCAATGCAAGGAAAGGAGGGAGGATCACAGAAAGGAAAGATGGTGCATCCCGGGGCGTACACTGCGGATGAAACTCACTCCCAGTGGCTCAGAGGGCGGAGAACATTTCCATTCTCTTGTTATGCAACGCATTTTTGATTTGCGTCCGGCTCGAAAGTCACACTGGAGGGAACTTTAGGAGAGGATTTATGTCCAGATTGCCTGGAAACACAAGTTGAGGTTTCAAATGAGAAAGGCTAATTTTACCATCGCTGCTTTGAGAACAGAATTTACATGCTGCTAAAAACAGTGATTGGGAGTCATATGGAGAGGACGCTCCTGACACTGGACAGCTGAACCACTTCCAGAGTGCTTGGATTAAAACTGTCCCAAATTACGAGACAGAGAAAGAAAGAATGAGGCTCCCACATAGAGACAGACGGACAAAGCAAATAGAAAAAGAGGGCAGAGAGAAAGGCAGAGAGAACACACACTAATCTGATGTCTGCCAGTACTGTACTTGCCAGATGTTGGCCTAGTAGACCTGATTCAGTTGCGCCAATTTGGCCAGATATACTGTACATTATATCCTCTCTCGTCTCAACACACAACTCATTGCAGATGGGTGAAAGACAGTTAGAGAACCAGTTTTACTTATTGCACCCTATGCAAAAGGAGCAATGCCATACAAATGAATCATCCTTCTTTACAACTACAATCTAAAGAGAGCCTCTGGATCCTATTCCAAAGCAGATTCTCTACCCAAAGTACCTACAAGTCTA